TTTTCACCAGTAAGCACTCACCGCGGATCAAACTTGCGACCCTCAGGTTATGAGTCCAAGTCCGTTGGCCAACTTATGCCATATGAGCTAGTATTCAATGACTGTCAGCCAGTGTCATCGATAAGTGTTTGTTCTCTCCGTTCGAACTTGAGAATCAGTCGACTTGAATGTATACATACATATTGGTGTATTGCTTGCTTGCCGTACAGTTGCCGCCTAGTTCTTTGTGTATGTTAATTAATATTCATTAAAACGAGGTGCATTTTAAACCCAGTAGTACTGTGAAGTTTTTGTCAGATTTTGATGCATCTCAACGTGTGTTCCCCCTTTATGCTTCTAATCTGGATTATTCAACCTTTATTCATACTTTATTTAACCTTGAACTCATGCTACACAACTGACTCACCCGGTGGTTTCGTGGTTGTTCGATTTATGCAGTTCGAGACGGTGACTATTTCACCAGATAGATATAGCGAAGATGTTCATCCAGACATCTACTGCATTACACTGTGTCTTCAAAACCGCTCATTCCTCTTTTGCCTAATTTCGCCTCTTCCATGTGTGAATCTACCAATTTAACTGCTCCTGTGGAGTGAGCCAGTTAATTGCATAGGCCGTACAATTAGGCGTTTTTTCCGTCAAATTCCCGAACATCACCCTGCAAAGTGGTTAAGCAAAGGACAAAGAAAATTCATTCAAACATAGTGCTATTCTATCTCATCTTGTAGATACAGAACACAAGATTGGTGTCAACGAGGCGACTTTCAAAGTCATCTATCACGCATACCAAGAAATCTTAACTTCACCTTAAGAGTTCGTGTACTATATATTGCTGAGGATGGCTGTTGGGATCCACATTACGAAGCCTAATTTATGTGTCTAAAAGAAGCTAGTTCAGACATTGTCCTTACCCCGTTGGCCATCTAGGTTCCAATGATCCTTAATCCTGTTATTGTGGAGATTCCCTTAATTTTATTTGATATTCTATTTGCTTTTAAAATTTTATTATTACTGTAATAATTTAAGCATCTTTAATGAACTGTAATTCCATTGTGATCTTATTTAACAAATCGATACCATTTTAAAAACACTAATATTGTTATTCATAAGTAAAAACACAGTTTTTGTTCAGCGAAGAAATTTCTTTTCAACGACTTCATTTTCAAGCTGTACAGTCGTATTTATATCACAGAAAAGGTCATTAAGTGGCACTAAATAATTGCTCAGTCAATATACATATATGTGATAAGAATAACGATAATTAAAATGTTATAAGGGGTAGAGTTGAAGTGGATAAATTACAAAATTATTAAAGATTGTTTTATAAGTGAATTGAAATCAAAAATGTTTTAAAATTGTCAAGTGTTGTCTAAAAATTTTAAAAAATTAAGAGTACGATTACGATAAGATGTGAAGTGAAGTGGAAAGAATTCAAGTGGTAAAATAAAATAAAGTAAAAACTAGAAAGAACATTACTATGACCAAGGTAGAGAAAGGGGTTTGACAAAAGGTTTTGAACACATAATTTAGGTTTCTGTTCATGTATAGCTAAAGCTTCGGCTATGCATAAGTGAAGAAAACGTAAACTTTTGGATCGATTCGATTTTGCCATGTAGATAACTTTGAAAGATGAATCACGTGGGGCTAAATGACCTGACTCTAACAGGTGATCACAGATAGACGACTTCGCAGTTCTACGTTCGCCTTTCATTAACCAGACTGGATAGTGTTCAGCTACACGTTTTCGGAGATTACGCTCACAACGTCCAATATAAACAGCTCCACAAGAGCAGGTAAAAGAGTAAATACACATGGATGTGGACAAAAGCGGTAATCTAGCCTTGACGCATTGTCTAATCATATTTCGGCTGGTAAAAACTAGTTGTAAGTCAGCTGCAGAAAAAGTACGTCTAATACATTTAGATAAACGATTTTTAATCAATTCCGAAATGGTGTCACCTTTGAATGCCAGACTCATAAACAGTTTCTTCTTTGGCACTGTAATTTGTATTGTTATTGACTACTATTCTAGAATATTCTATTTATATAAACATATGTATATATGATTGTAGAGCCACAAGAAGAAATTATCGAAAAGGATATTCTTCGCTCAATTATTTTGTATTTTATTTCGTAATGGCCATCTTAGTCTGGCCATTAAACACTGCTGGTTTATGTCGGTGGTAACAAACTACTCATATCGACCAGTTAGTAGTATGCAACACATAGCACAAGGTGATCACTCTCTTTAAGGCTGAATGCCGTGTGTGTGTGTGTGTGAATCAGACGGCTTGTCTGGTAGTGAATATATATATTGTTACGTAACACATTAATTAATCTAATCTCTATCTATCCATCTATCTATCTCTAATGCATACACATATATTCACTCAGTTAATCATTGATTTGTATGTCGATGATGTGTGTATGAAAAGCTATAAATGACATCCAGTCTATGCAATACGCGTATATGTCATCCTGTCATGCATATGTCAGCCATATATATATATATATGTTTTTGCGTACTTGCATGTCTGCAGACCTACTTACATATAGATATGCTGAGCGAAGACGTTAAAAATAGCCTAATCCAACAGTACCACTTACTGGCTTAGGTAGGTAGGTAATGGATCATCCGTAGAACTTGTCAACCTGTCAACAAACTTAGAAATCACTAATTCTGTGGTGCATTTTTTTCATTACTCAGTTTCTCTTTCTCTCTCTCTGTCTCTCCAGTCTGAATGTACAACACACTGTCTAGTAGTTTTGATTTCAGCGGTTGTCTTTTCGCCTTCCATTTGAATTTTCTTCTTCTTCTTTGTGGCCGCCATCTATCTGTCTGGATTCTGCGTAAAACTTGGCACCGAAGTGCAGCAGTTCGAGTTGCCACGTTCCAAATACCACACAAAGGTGGCAGACAAGAAGATGAGTGAAGAGAATCAATAGAGTTTTGACAAGTATAAGAGTGAAACAGAATGAGTGAGTAATGGTAGAAAGGAATATGAAAGATTACAGAGACTGAATACATCTGCGTAAGCCAGCCATTGACAACGATTTTGAGCCATGTCGACTATTGTCTCCAGCCACTGATTGATTCTTAGAGTCCCGAGGGCGGGCCCCAACCCGGAGGTCTACATCTCCCTACCTGACTCAGTTTAACTGTCAAGGATTTCATGGATTGATGAGGCCGTGTTTTTGTTTGGCCATCACTTACTCTTTTCTAATCTGCACCTATATCAGCTAGTAATGCCTGTCCGTCGGGGGAGGCGATGGGCGCCATGCCGTTCTGTTCTTTAACCAAACTGGAACGCTAATCCTACCTTTGACTCTAAATCCCAATCCTGTCCTGTACCTCAAACTATAATCTTCAACTTGACCGTAAAAACACTAAACCTATCAGACAGAGCAGATTTGCAGTAAAAAGTACCTAGAGAATAAGTGGAAACCTGTACCTACCATCACCACCAAAACCATATATACAGAAAGGATTTAATTTGTGATGGCCTTTATTAGTGTCTTCTAAATCTTCCAGTATTGATTTATAGAGATAATTTTTCATTGGTTGGAGGATTTTATCATGAGCTGACATCAATTTGAGAACCACTGGAAAACCAGCCACAGAGAGTACTGGACAGCCGGCTGTTCCGTCAGCCTAGTTTGGGACTCTTCACAAGACTTACCCACCACCAACAGGGCTCGAACCCAGGATCTTTTGGTTACAAGGCTATCGAGCTCGTAGACCATTAAGCCACTGGGACCCGATCCAATGGTCAGCCAATGAATTCCAACTCCTACCGATTCACGACATAGTGTGACCACTTAGCAATGTCTTTTTCGATGAGTAACTGTCCTCATATTCCACCCTACTGGTCACGGCTTCCTATTAGAACCCCAGGTTAACTGCCTGAATAGAGCCAGTGGCTCGAGAGCACTGTGAAGTGGTTGCGCTATGTTGTCAATTGGTAGACGTCAGAATTCATGGGCAATTGAATCGGGTCCCAGTGGCTAATGAATCGTCTACGCACTCTCTAGCCCTGTAACCAGAAGATCCTGGGTTCCAACCCTGTCAGTGGTGGGTACGTCCTGTGAAGAGTCCCAAACTAGGCTGACGAATCAGCTGACTGTCCAGTACTCCCTTTGGCTGGCTTTCCAATGGTTCTCCAACAGATTTCAGCTCATGATGAAATTCTCCAACCAGTTAATAATAATAATGATAACATTAATAAGACGAGTTAAAACAATGGTACTGACAGAAGGTAGTTTTAAATGAATCAACATTAATAATAATAATTAAAGATGTAATAAAACATTGTTGACAATGACTAATGAGTAAAAAGAATAGTAAGGTGTTGGTTTGTAGGATTTTGATTAGTTCCAGGATTTCATCATGATGAGCTTATACCGGTTAGAGAACCATTGGAAAACCATCCACAGAGAGTACTCGACAGCTAGCTGTTTTGTCCTCATTGTCTGAGACCCTTCATCAGTACACATCCACTGGGGTTCCCTATAAAACCAACACTTGAATATTTATCTGATGCTCAGCAGCGCCTAGCTTAATTCCCCTAGGTAGTTGTTACCTGGGTTCTAGTGAGAACTCGTGAATACCAGTGGGGTACAGCAGGTCATCAGCTGCGAGGACAAATACTCCCCAGCGTTAACATTGGCTAGTGACCTAACCATTGAATTCTCTCTCACTGGCTGGATGATCAACAAGCTCATTTTATAATCTGAAGTTACTAGATCCGCTCCTCAGTGGTATGTGCTAGGTACATGCTTCTGAAGAGTCCCAAATGATAAGGACGAAACAACTAGCTATTCCATTGCTTCTCTAACTGATATTGATCATCCATGAGTGAACATCAAAACAAATCAATATTTATTTTAATGAATTATTATTTTTCAATAATTAAGTTAATCTGTTACAATCTACCTACCTCTCTAGGTATGTTTTTCTGATTTGATTTTCCCTCTCTTTATTTTGTTGTTGTCTTCTCTAGAATTGAACATCGAACACGAAAGAATTCAAAAAACAATAAAACAAAACAAAACAATTATCCAACGGAAACAATATATTCACAATAACAAACCAACAAACAAACAAATTTAAATTCTTCTGTGTTCATTCTGGCATAAACATATTCATAAATTATTTCTTTTTATTCTAAAACAAAAAGAAAAATCTTTTTTCAAAAAAAAACAAAAATCCAACCACAATGCTCAATGGTGAGATATTACACATGGAAGACAATGGTAAGTCTTTTTGTGAATACATTTATTTCTATATATGTGTATATGTTTGTATTTGCGCCTGTGTGCGCTGGTGCGTTCGTACGTACGTGCGTGCGTGCGTGCGTGCGTGTGTGTGTGTAGATTCTTCCTGTCCCCCTGGAAATGTTTTCCAGTTTACTGATTCTCTTTATTCATGATACATTTTTTTTCCTTTCTTTAGGATGTTGTATTTTTAAAGAATAATTAGTTAGACAAAGCAATAAGAAGACGTAATTTATCTGAGTCGAGTGTATTATTATTATTATTGTTCCCTTGGGTTCCTAGTGGAACATAGGGCTTCAACTACACGTCTCCATTTGCTTCTGTCTTCTGCTATACTTTTCACCTGTATCCATGTTAGTCCATAATGTTTCAACTCCTCTTCACACGATCTCCTTCATGTCACCCTTGCACTGACGTCCCACTCGCCGCTGCTTCCCTTTCGGGTTCCACTCGAGCACTGGCCTGATGCGCGATGTCACCCAACGGCCTCCTCAGCAAGTGAGTGTCCAATCCATCTCCACTTTCTCCTGCATATTTGTTGAGCGATTGGTTCTTGTTTTGTTTGTTTGTTCCCATAGTTTCTTGTTGGTTCTTGTTCTTTCCGACCATCTGATCTTCAGTATAGAGCCAGCGAAGACAGTTGTTGATAAAGGTCTGCAACAGGCTGTTGGAAATATTTTTTGTGACCCGCCAAGTTTCTGATCCATCCGTATAGAAGAAGTGACTGACTTGACGTTTGTATTGAAAATCCGAATTTTGTTGTTGATGCAGGCTGAGTGACGAAGATTTCCAGATTGGTTTAAGGTTGATGAATGTGTTTCTTGCCTTCCCGATTCTCGATTTGACATCCTCGTCCGTTCCTCCTGTAGTTGAGACAGTGCTCCCCAGATAAGTGAATGAAGTAACCTCTTTCATCAAATCCCTCCCGTTGATGGTGATTGGCGGTGGATGTTGCTGCAGTTGTTGTTGTTGGTTGGTTATTTTCATAACCTCCGTGTTGTCTATGTTCACCTGGAGTCCTGTCTTTGCTGTGTGAAATGTTATATTTGCACACAACACTTATTTCGAACAATCTGATCCACCAAACATGGAAAGAGTTAAGAGATGAGAAAATAAACTACTTAGGTCGAGTTAAAAGGACATATTGAAGGTAAAAATATCAATAAAGATCACCAAACCAAATAAGAGAGGAAATAGTGAGGTTCATCCAGTCAAGTGTAAGGCTGGATTTCCCGCCGATGACAATGATTGGTGCCAGTCGCGTTGAATGCATCTCGAATTGGTAGAAGTTAGAATTCATGCGGTGGTCATTGAAGAGTCGGCTCCCAGCACTGGCTGAATGGTTTATGCGCTCGCTAATTTTGTAATAAAAAAGTCGTGGGTTCAAACCCTGTTGATGGTGGGTGTGTACCGCCGATGATTCCCAAACTAGGATGAAACAGATGGCTATCCAGTACTCCAGTGCTGGTTTTCAATGGTTCTGTAACTGATATTAATCCGTGATCAACTCGTTAAAACAAAACTAATCCTTACAAACCAACTATTGGAAATAGTATTTCTACCCTGGTATGAAAATAAAGTTTACCAAGGAAAGTTTAGTGTAATGACGAATTGTTACTTTGATTGCATAAAGGTAGTTTAAACTTCCTAATTCCCAGCTAGGGCTTCCACAAACTTTAGGATAAGTCCCAAACACGTTTCATAGATAGATAAATTGAAAGGGCTTGTAAACATCGACATTAGCTGTCAGTTTTAGGTTGGAGTATCAAAAGAGTATAATTCCATTGTCGGTAAAATTTATTTTGATAAAGTCTCATATTGTTATATAGTAATATTTCCTGAGCAATAAATTGTGCTCGAAACGTGGTCATGAGTAAATATTACTCATTGTATAACACTGTGAGACTTCATCAAAATAAATTTCACCCATAATGGAATTATACTCTACTTTCACAGTGCACAAGTTCTATTCTTATATCAACAGAGTAATTTAACCACATTCTATGCATGCAATGATTTAGGTCTTCTAACCCTAACAATAACCCTAATCTTTCCTGAACCTAACCCTTACGTGAAAATATGCCTAAACTAAGTGTTATCTAACTCGAACCAACTCTAATGTCGGCTTTATTAGATTAATCTAACCCTCACTTGTCCTTGGCTTAAAGCGTAACTTAATCTTTCCCAAATCTAAGCTGAAACTTCCCAGATATCCAGATTTACTAGCATAACACTTCGATGAGCATATTTTTATTGATGATGATAACATTATTCGCAAAGGTTTCATTAACTTGCTCAGTGAGCTACTCAAGTTCATTGGTGAGGTCACACTCCACTGGTAGTTAGTGGTGCTTAATGTTCAACATGGCCATATATATATATATATATATTCATATGAACTGTGATCAAGATTTAACCGGTTAGTTTCAAAATAATTGAGCTCCGGGTGAGAAGTAGACATTTGTAAAATCTCAGTGAAATTGAAATGATTAATTCCAACGTCATAAGGGAAATTAATCGAAATTAACATAACAGAGGTTTATGTCTAAAACGACATCTCTTGTTTTAAAATTCTTTGTCCAGTCATATGAATCATGAAACAGGTATCAACATGTATAATAAACAAAAATTTGTATGAACTGTGTTCAAAATTTCACCTCAGACTTTCAAAATTAGTCTATTTTTGTTAAAATAGAAGTGTATATGCAGTATGCAATGGTGTGTGTGTACGTGTGGGTGTGGGTGAACAGTCATCAAATATTTGTTAGTCTCTCCATAAGAAGAAGTAGACAATCGGGGAATTTGACCAAGTATGACTAATTGTTGATGCATATCCAATTTTTATTTATTAATCAGGATTTGCCATGCATCAGCTAAGATCACACCTTCGCATCTGTTCAAACAGTTGGGATTCACCCATATATGCAGGGCTTCTTCAGTCAGTCTTTCATTATGTGAACCAAAACCTTTCTGTAAAACCTTAGTTTTATCAAAGTCGATTTTGTGTCCCGTTTCTATCGAATGCAGTGCAATCGCTGAGTTGTTTTCTAGCTTCTTCAAGTCTGTAGAGGTCTTTGGAACCACCTTTAGACATTGTTTATGTTCCTTCACTCTCACAATATTGACCTGTCTGGAAGTCCCTCCTACATTATATGGTGCCACAATCCCCACAATTGATCTGGTATACACAATTCTGCTGGTTTTCTTGTTCTATTTTATCCTTAACCTTCACCAGTGATGAGTGTAAGGTGTTATTTTCACGAAAATACACTCTTATGTTATGATCGTTAAGGATTCGCCTTATTTCATCGGATGTTTCTTTGCGGTAAGGAATCACTGCTGTACTAACCCAATTCTTAGCATAGCAGGTTTCGATTCATCCTTGTCTTCACATTTTAAATAACTTCTTATAAAGGCTTCAGGATAATTATTTGATTCAAGAGTGGATTGAACCAATTTTAGTTTCCTGCTGATATCTTCCTCCTCAGTAACTAGACGTTTGGCTCTGTTAATTAGATTTTTGGCCACAGTTACTTTGGTTGTAAAGGGATGTGCTGAATAGTAGTCTAGGTATCTATCCGAATTTGCCGGGTTTCTGAAAAAGTTTATTGATAAAGTAAAGAGCGGGAGAAATGGATAGTTTAATTCCCTTATTATTATTATTGTTAACTTTGTTATCATATTTCCTCTTCACTTTTTGATAACCACTGAATTTTTCTCTCTCTTTTCCCGGCTCTCCCTCTCCTGGTTTTATGTCAATATGTTTATAAGATCGTAATTAATTAATTAAATTTAATTTGTAACTGTTTCACTGCAATTCTGTTTCTGTTTTTTAATTTTTATTGTGGCTTTTTTTCCCTCACCATGTTCACACTATTGAAGTTACTTACTCGGTGTCAGACTTCCTCTTTGTTCCTCTCTCTCCCTGTTGATATTTATCTACATGTCTGTCCATCTATCCTTTTCTGTCTATCTGTCTGTCTGTCTGTCTATCTACCTAACTGTGTTGGTCTGTCTGTCTATCTCTCTATCTGTGTGTCCATGTCTAACTATCTATCCATCTATTGAGAAGACAGTTGCAGCGAAAAAAAGCTTTTCTTTTCCACGAAGTCACGGTCATCTAGGCTGTTCATTCGTGTATTTCATATGAAATGGGTGGGAAAGCTGCAGAATAATTTCCGGTCAAGGGTCAAATTAATAAAATTACAATTAGGAAAATTTAAAATACCATAATAAACAGGGGGATGGATAAAACTCAAACAAAGTAGCATCATAATTACTGAGAAGATTGACATATTGTGCAATTATGGGTTAGAAATGTAGAAATAACAAAAATAGACAGGACGTTTGGATAAAAAATCTAGTGAGATCATAACTAATGTGACGAATAATTGTTTCTGTAATCAGGGATTAAATATGTAGATATAGTAAAATAACAAAATAAACAGGAATTTCGAATATGAAAATATGGTAGTGCAAATAAGGATTACGAAAAACTTAAAAATAACATGAATGAACAGGAAGTTTGGATGAGAAAGGCAATGGGATGGTCATTACTAAAAGAATTACCTGTTTATGATGGCCACGGCAGGGACAGGGGTTGGACGTATTTCTTTTGGATACAAAGTGTGGGTTTGAGCTTTTGGATAGCTAGTGCCTCGGCTATGCCTAGATGTCTTGATTTCACTCCGTTTGATAGGTTCGATTGAATCTTGTATATTACTTTGAAGGATTTTTTGAATGGCGCTGAATGTCCTGAATTGACCAGATGTTCTGTCACTGAACTATATACCCGTTTTCGGTCTCCTTTCACTAGCCAGGCTGGATAGTGTTCACGAGCTCGTTTTTCAAGTTGGCGCATGGTATGGCCGATGTACTCAGCTCCACAAAAGCAAGTAAACTGGTATATGCACGTTGAAGTGGCCCAAAGCGACAGCTTGTCTTTCGTGGTTTGGCTGAATGGTTTCTTACAGGAAAAC